CAGATATGTAATGTGCTCATTCCAGTCAAGTTTTTGATCGAATATCATACCCAGAAATGGATATAGATTGTCTTGCTCTCAGACATTCTTATGCCTGATATTGCTGACTATTTTATAAATGACATTTTGTAAATATCTGTAATTAATTTTGAAATTTTAGCTCTTGCCAAAGAAAACTAGATCATCTGCGTGAAGTCTACCTTTTAGAGGGGCTGCACAGTCATCGATAATACGGTTGATTGCAATAAAAAAAAAGCGATTTATTTCCAACAGGAGTACCCAGTTACAGGAAATGCTATTATTACAGAGTATATACAGGCTGATTCACGGTGGATGGCACATTAGACGTTTCTGGTGAACCAGACAACGGATCACTTTGAAAATTTAATGGAGGGCATATTCGGACATTCTCTAGCCAACTAAAATATTTTCGACAATGCGGNTCGCGTGATGGGTATAGAGGTTCCTGACACAAGGTGCAGGGCCTGCCGCGAGGCGCCCGAGACCCTAATGCACTTGCTATCAGCATGTCCAGCATATGCGGTCTCGGCCTATATCCATCGACATAACGCGGCCCTAAGAGTGCTATATTACCATCTACGGCACTCTTACGGTATTGACGAGACACCGGTGTTGCCCTACGCTCCGGGGGATATTGAATCCGTTGTGGGGAACGAGAAGTGCCGAATTTATTGGAACTATTCGTTCCCCACCCTCAGGCTCATACAAGCTAATAAGCCTGATGTAGTCCTCCTCGACCACCAGACAGAAACGATATTTGTCGTGGAGTTTTCAGCTCCTGGCGAGACGAATATCGTCAGAAAAGAGGAGAAAGAAAGGATAAAATATCGAGATTTTCTCTTCGAACTCCGCAGACTCTATCCAGATCATCTATCAAGGTGATTGTTCTGATTATTGGAGTTCTTGGTGGAATGATGTCCTCTCTACTCTCGAATCTTAAAATCATACCGGCATCATTAATGATGCTAGGCTGAACCACAAATGAGTTGCAACTGTCCTCTTTCTATTTCTCTTTCTTGAGAACCGTCTGACATATCCGTTTCTCCCAAGTCTTCGGAATACAATGGAGCTTCAGGGGCTCATTGCATTTTTATTCCATCTTTTTCATGACACCACCAGAGCACCAATCTTGTGCCCTGTCATAGTTTATGCAGGTCCCTTGCTAGATGCATATCCCTTTATGCATATCTTTTTGAACATAATTCAAGTTGCTCTCAGTGATCCAATGCCTTATATTCGCATAAAATATGATAAGCTGGTTTCGTACCAAAGACAAAGTCCACAGCTATCATAACTGGTTCAATGCCTATATATGGAGTTGATCTATGTGAATTTATGGGTTGCATCTATAGGTTTAACATATGATAACATATAACTTGAAACATGTACTCTAATAAGACGCTATCTATGAGATCAACAGAAGTCCAAGTCAATCAAAAATATGAACGATAAATATTCGTATTGTATATACCAAGATGGAGTCCATCAATGAGACCCACTGACGAGACCTGCCACTGTCTGATATTTCATATTAACTTTGATAATTCGGCCACTCTCCATCTGGAAAAATTGATCACCTAATGGTCAATAATTTTTCAAGTATAACAATAAAAAGGATGTGCAACTTTGTCATTGTGTTCATAAATTCGGTATGTTGATTATTTATTCAGGAATTATTTTCTTCATATGTTATTGTTCAGATCATAATTATATTGTTTTATCTCACATGCTTTGAATTCTATCGGCTATTTTAATTCACAAATTGTTGGAATGATTCATATTTAGTGAGTCATCAATTTATTGAAGCAATTTGCGTGAGATAATTATCATTATAATAACGATATCCAAATACTTTTTGATGACGAATATTATTTTTACAAATTTGATTCCACAATAAATTTCTGCTTGAGTTATGGATGAAAAACAGCCTCTCTTGTTCAGTCATGTGCTACTCTAAACCTGTCAACTATTTTAATATTACGGAATAAGCTTGATCTGCTTATGTCATCAAATAGGTGAACGAATGTCATTACGATGTCATCGATGACATAAGCAGATCAAGCTTATTCCGTGACATTAAAAATCGTAATTCATGAATGAATTGTGTGTATTTTCTATAATTTATTCCAATTTGGTACTGAAGAGCCTTCAGGCAAGTGTCTTAAGGCGAAACATCGATGTATACCAGTGAGGATGACAGTGTTCCATGTTAGTGCATTTTGTTACCATTCATTCAGAGTAGAACTCATGTGAATGATATCTGATCTTTATTCCACAACGTATGTTTGAAATACAAACTGAGTAGAGAAAAGTATCTTCTGTATAATTCAGTGTTCACATAGAAGTATTTGTTTCGAAAGAATTTTTTTTTCTTTCGTATAATTCAATGTTCATATGAAAGTAACTGTTTCAAGAGGACTTTCTTTCAGTTTTTGTCTGAAAGTTACTTCTTTACATGATCTACACATCCATGTAAGGAGTTACTTATTTTCAAATTGATTACTTCCTTCCCCTCTTTGGAAGATTCCCTCATCCTTTTTTTGTATCAAAATGGAGTAGTACAAAGCCAAAAACTTTCTTTCCCTAAAATCTGTTTCTTTTCAAAAACACTGATTGATGAATATGAAGCACCTACCTTTTCTCATTCCAGGCAAAAAATTATAAATGATGGTTTCTCCTAAAACTAGAAAATAAGATTTTTACTACTTACATATTTTGAGGTATGAGATACGAGAAAAACTGAATGAATAGAGAATCAGCTGAAGTATAGTAAAGAATATTATTATGGAACTATCACACAATAAATTTTTTAGTGGTTTTCGATATTCACAGTTATCCTATATAATTTTACTACGGACAGGTGAATGATTGACCATTTCCAAGCCTCTTTTGTATACAAGGTGTTTCCTAACTACGTTACGGAACTTCAGATGGTGATTCGTTAGGTTGTCTTAAGAAAAAAAGTTCTAATGAACATATGTCCAGAGATACTTCGTTTCTGAGATACAGGTCGTTAAGGTTGAAAAAAACCGTATTTATAAAATATCGTAAATATCCTTACACCGATTTTGTTGAAATTTTTTAGTTATTTGAAGAAATGAGACGCTTATTTGGTCGTAACTAGATTGAAATTATTAGTTCCAGTTGTGTATCAGTGGGTAGCATAGCCAAAAATATTGTAAAAAAATACGTCACTCATTTTGGAAACAAAAAAATTCCAAAGGAAAAAAGTTGCTCCATATCCAATTCGATATTGTTTTTTTTTCAAATTTGAACTCTCTATTTTTACTCAGACTTTTTTCCAATTCCTTTTATTTTTCAAGTCTCTCGCTTAACTACATCAAAATAATTCGAACTCATCTGCTGAATTCTTGGTGAAAAACTACGAGTGTAATAAGAATAAAGAGAACTTTTATTGGATTACTAACATAAATTGAAAATCCATACACTAAAAATCCGATTCCGAATTCAACAAGACGAATTTATAGATGTTCATTCAATTTTTTTCTGATAATGGTATTTTCTGGGCTTGATAAGACATCAAAATCTCGTATTAATCAAAATCATGAAGTTTGAATTATGTTCCGTTGGAATCGGTATAAAATTATAGAATTGGGAACTCGTCGACTTTTTTGGAAGTAAGAAACTACTTTTGAATAGTCTCTAAAAAATGTCAAATTTGACAGGTTAAGACTGCGGAATCAAGTTTGAATGTAGTTCTTACTAAAAAAAACGTCTATTTATTGCGGACTTCATGTGTGACACTCTATATTTGAATAACACTCAGTTCAAACTTTCAATCGAAGTTTTTTCATAAGTACTTATTATATTACACCAACTTATTGTACATAAAAACTTTTTTTGTCTTTGTTGCAGAGTGACTCTATCACTTTGTTTTTAAAAAATAAGGCACTTCTCTGTACTTTGGAATAAGCTCAAACCACTTCTGATTATAGGATAAAAAAAAATAACTTTTGCCTAAATTCTACTACGATTTTTTTTCGTTACGACCTGTTTCGGTTCATTGAACCATTTTCAAGTAACACTACTATTAAAAATCCAGTTCAAATAAACTCTTCCACTAATTTTTTCATTTTATAGTGCCATATATATGCACTAATATAGCAAAGTGATCATGGACCAGTAGATAGTTTTTTGGTCCATGACTACGACCACATTTCAAACAATCATAATGATTTTTATTATTATCAAACTTAATATTAACCTGTGCACTTTTTGACTTACCACTTTCATTGTTTATACTACTTTTAATAAATTAATCGATTTAGCCGTTACTAAGTGGTAGGAAATCATAATAAAGAAAAGAGAATTGAAACTTTCTATTTGGTAAAGAACATGGAAAGTTTCAATTCTCCTTTCTCTATTCTACTTTTATTTTGTATAAAGTCTACTTCTTTATCGTTTTTCAGCCCCTTTACTTGTCTTTTACTAATTTCCGCACCTCTGCAGATCTCCTCAGCTTCTTCCAGTGTTAAATGTAAAAGTTGCAGTAACCTGTCTTGTACAGACAGCTCCTGTATTCCACTCACTATCTTATCTCTAATTGACGATTTCTCCAAGTCACCAAAATTACATGCAGAAGCTAGCGCTTTTATGCCTGTATTGCACTCTTCCAATATTTTTTTTCATTTTATAGGGCCATATATATGCACTATTGAATAGACTAGATGAATTTCTGAGATTCAACGTTGTATTTTTACATTTCAANAGAGAACAGAAGCTTTGCCCGGGGCTCAGCTATACAACTTCGCCCGTGTTTCTATTTTTCACGTTATGTAATAGTAAAGGAAAATGTGAATATTATCATTATAACCACCTAACATATGCGAAAATAAACACCATTAGTAGACAAAGTTTGGACAACAAAGTTCCACGGATTTCCCCAAATTGGTTAATTTGTCACACAATGTTTTTGAACTCGAATGATTTTCATACAACGCCATATTTCTGTATTTCAGGTTACACCGACGTCGACCCGAGCGGTCACCTACGACGAAGAATCCTGGAAACCATCACCAGAAGATTCCTCCAAAGACATCGAACGGTCAACCGAGGTCCGCCATAGCAAATCCAAGCGCGTAAAAAGTATCTTAAAAAAGTGCAAAAACGTCTTAGGTAACAAATCGGCAAGCCTAGAAGTGTCTACCGGTTCAGATCCCTCTTCTTCTTCCTCCGGTAACGAGCGATCTTCCTTCTGTCTAGACGATAAGATAGAAGATAAGCTCAACGTATGCCAGATAAACGAGCTAGACGATATTTTCGAAGACGCTCATGTTTCTTTGAACGTTGCCGAGTGCACGGGTGTTTTTCAAGTTGCGAATATCGTAGAAGTGAGAGGTCCTCCGGGTTCGGATACCACCACGAGCAGTTCTGAAAGTGCTAATGATCAGAAGGAGGGTGCTGAAGAGAAAACTCCTCACAGTGAACCAGAGACCGCCTCTCCTGTTTTGAGTGAAGTGCAAGACAAGGAAGAAGGTGGAATCGATGGTGACAGTGATTTGGGGTTTCGTGATGTACACGCTGTGATTTCCACGCCCCAGGTAAGTTCAGAAGTAGAAACGATTCAATAGTTAACTGAAAGCAATTTCGAAAATTTGAATTTCTGAAACTTCATTGGTACCATTATCGAATTCTTGTAATTTTACCTTCTAATAAAGTGGCGTTTGGAAATATATATGCATGATACCAAACACTGCTTTCAGACAGAAATCAATAACTCATACTTCACGTGCATTTGAGTTGGTAATCACTTGCTTCAAAATCATTCTTCAGTCTTTGCACTATGAAACAATTCTAGATCAGGGACAAANAGTGAGTAATCACTTGCTTCAAAATCATTCTTCAGTCTTTGCACTATGAAACAATTCTAGATCAAGAACAAAAAGTTTGTTAATAAAGGTTTTCTTTGTAATGATGGAATTAGCACAGAATTTTGTTTTAATGTTATTCCGTAAAAACATAATATGAAGAATTTTCCACTATCTCTGAGTAAAATTATAGTCGTCCTCTGCCATTGAATAGTTCTCTAATTCAAAGCCCGATAAGTATCAAAAAGCCAAAAAGATAAGGCTGCCAAACTTAAAATTTTGTGATATATGTATGTCGATCCCATTTTGTTAGAAACTTTGGAAAATCTGGAAATGTCAAATTGTGGCACTGAAAGATAACAAAACTTCCATTCCAAATAGTTCATTTGTTTTCTTCACTAATTCGTACGTAAGGTATAATTGATGTATGATACTCTCAGATATAAGTTCTGATTATCTTATGATGGCGTTATTAGGTCAAAGAGGAAGACACATATTTGTTGTATCAATTTCTTCAGGAACGCAAAGTTTTTCTTTCAACAAACATGCTTTCAATCCTAAAACAGACACAGTCATTTTTTCTACAAGATATACTTTGACATTGTATCAAGCCCCTTTTACAATGCACTGTACAATAGCATATCCTAAACATTTCACTTTTACTTTAACATATGTAATTATTGAAACACCTGTATCAATTATATTATATCTGTTCTATCCCAGTTTTCCATAAGTGCAAATTGACATGCAATTACAATCAGCACCAGTATCTAACTTGAAATTTACAGTTTGTTTATTAATTATTACAGGGATACTACAAACAGTTTTACTTTCCATCTCTCACTATCTTCTTTTCTATTCAATAAACCTTCTCTCATTTCATGTATATTTGTACATGTACATGTATTTTATGTATATGGATTACGACTTGAGGTGGAAGGCTGTTTGAACTCTCCCTTGTTTGTTTGTCCTGACTTGTATTGACAACCTATAGCAAAGTGATCATGGACCAGAAGACAGTTTTTTGGTCCATGACTACGACCACATTTCAAACAATCATTATGATTTTTATTATTATCAAACTTAATACTAACCTGTGCACTTTTCGACCTACCACTTTCATTGTTTTTTTTTACTTTTAATAAATTGATCGATTGAGCCGTTACTAAGTGGTAGGAAATCATAATGAAGGAAAGAGAATTGAAACTTTCTATGTGGTTAATGTATCTGTAGAGAAGGGAGGGTGAGTGTAGGCCTGTAGTACTTAAGCCACATGTGACCCCTTGTACATCCTCCCGAGAAGTTGTCCTCCTAGGTCATCGTCCATCCTGTCTTTTCCTGGAAGATTGACAGGTCACTAGGAGACATCTCCTTTATATTGGCAGGTGTAGGCCAAGACTCGCCGAACACACACTCTCTTATTGACGATAACTCCGGACACTCGCATAGGACATACCTGACAGTTTCATCTTCCTGTTTACACATCCTGCATAGAGGTGTGTCCACTAGCCCTATATTATGTTGGTGTTTCCTCAGTTGACAGTGGCCAGTCAAAAATCTTACTGTTGAGCGTAGGTTTTTCCTGGTCATCGCCGGATATTTCTTCGGCGCCAGCTTCCCAAGGTCGCCCAGAGTGATCCTGGGCGACCCTGTAGACTGCATCCTTGGATTCCAACCCATATCTTTAGGAAATAAGCATGGGTGTGACGTTTGGCTAGTTCCGCAATTATCGAAGTCCTCAGGCCGTAGCTGTCACTGGGTTCTGAAATTCTTAGTCCAGCCGCTTCCTTGGCTAAATGATCGGAAATGCGATTACCTCTACTCCTGTCGTGCCCTTCAACTACCTAAGGATAATGTTGTTCTCTAACGAGGCTTTAGCTGAATCTTGGTGGCACTTTAGTACTAGCCTTGAGGTAACAGGTTGTCTGTTCAAGGCTAATAAGGATTGTCTACTATCAGTGCAGATTGTTATTTATTCCTGGTTATTCATTTTTTGGCGATTGAGATACCAGCCATTTCTCTTGGAACCACGCTGGTATTTTTTCCCATTTCCCACTTAATTCTTAGGCTTAGTGATTTGGAGTAAACTCCGCATCCCAAGCCTTCTTTGGTTTTTGAGCCATCTGTATATATGCGTATTGAATGAATCAGCCTCAGTTGACCCATTCCCACTTCGACGTTTACACCGGCCGTGCGCAATCGTTACCAGTATCGAATAGCCTGTTTCAAGCTTCCACTGATATCTAATATTTGCTCGTTGTCGAACACACATTATCCTTCTTCAGCATCCATTCCTGTCCGCAGTAATAGTTAGAGATAACACAATCAGTCTCACTGTTCACCATGCTTCCCAAATTAGATGAGAAACAGTTAATAAAAAATCAAGTGAATCATGTAAATTTATGGAACAACGAATGAAACCTGAATAAATAGCAAGCTTCGAGAAAGCTCCAATAAAGGTCCAGATGTAAGAAGAAAAAGTAGAAATGATACTTCTAGAATCTAAATGAAAAAATTGCTGTTTCAAAGAAAACTCAATGAGGAACAAAAAATCAAAGAGGATAACTTAATCAATTTACTTTTAAAATGAGGAAGGTGAAACTGGAAAATTGAAGAATATTTCAGAAGAAGAAACAAGCAAAGTTCGACCTTTTGGAGGGAAATCTAAGGGGTAATTCAAAAACTCATTCTGAAAAATCATTAGTTGTCTATGACGACATGAGAATATTATTAAGAGTGAAACAGAAAACACAGAAATAGAACATTACAAAAGACTAACATTAATGACTCTGATGAATCGAAGAAGCCACTTTCTGAAATAGTGAATAACAATAAGTTCCTCAATCTCCCCTGAAATGGAATTAATTCCCTGAAATAAACAACAAGATTAAGTGTAGATTCAAGAATGTCCCAAATAAATTAGAAGAAGATATACATTTGTTGGATTCGTATGTTGGATTGGTATGAAAGGAAAAATGCCATTACTTCGTTTATCATATCATAAGTGCTGTGCATTTGGAAATCATTTTTTTGTACCTATATCAAATAGCCTGTGATAATTCCCCAGTCCCCACCGTCCCTTGTCGAACACACCCATTTCTGTCCACAGGAGTAGTTATGATCCTGTTGGCCCGTATTTAGACGATAGAAATAGACACTATAGTAGACAGTAATAAAAAAACCAAGTCAATCATGTGAATCTAGGGAAGAACGAATGGAACTTGAATAGATAGCAAGCTTTGAAAGAGTCATACCTCATCCAAAAGAAGCTAATACTGAACCAAAAGAAGTCACGAAAAAAACTTTAGAGGATTCAATTTTATTCGCTTCTTTCTGTCAGAGTTTTTATTGAACACTTTATTTCGGGATAACCTAAAGGGGAACAAAAGGAGTAAAAAGAATACAATGGAAGAGGTAATTTTGGAACCAATGAGAAGTGGAAGTGAAACTGTTTCATGAAATAATCTGTTTAAAATATGTTTTTCCGTTAACCAGCTGTCACCCCCTTACGAACGACAACTTTCAAAAGTCGAAACTTGTGCGAGTTAAGAACTAACGAGGTCTTACCTTTTAACGTGTGATTCCTAACACGGGTTGGACGATAGGAAGTTAACCCGACCTACCGTACCGGCTACTGTACCTACCGAAATCCCTGGAAAGCTGAATACTTGTTCAAAAAAGGAACAAGCAGAGATCGATGGAAAACCAAAGATGTTATTCATTAACCTGTTCTGGAAATGTCGTAGGAATAGTCTTAATTGGAGACATAATGCATACCTTAATGAGTCAGAAATGTCAAAGATATCAAATTCTGAAATGATGGGTGGAAGGGATTCTCCCAATCTATAAGAAAAATAGGGTCCTGAAATGGAACCAGTACTTCGAAATGATCGAGAAAGCTTTCTGAGTGCAAATTAAGAAAGGTTTCAAAAGAAATAATGGAAGATGTGATTTTGTAGAACTAATTGTCTTGAAGTTTTCATTTTTACATTGAATAAACGCTCATTCAACTTTGTACGAAAGTAGAAGGCTCAGGACCACTTTCCTTCACACTGAAATGTGCTGTGGATCAAAAAATTATTCATACTAGTATCGAGTAGTCTGCGATAATTCACCAGCTTCCACCGACATTATCTCATATTAGCTCGTTGTCGAACACACATTTTCCTTCTCCAGCACCCATTCCTGTCCGCAGGAATAGTTATGATCCTGCCTTCGATTATGAGTGGTTGATGTCGGTAGAAGGTGAAAGTGCACGGGACTCGTGCCTGCGACACAGTACTGCTTCCGGGCTCACTCCAAGTGACCTCCGACCCCGGCTCACTCGCTATTGACTGATGTCTCATTTCATATATTATAACTCCATTGCCCTATAAGGGGTTTCAATAAGGAAGTCGTTGGGAATGAAGTTTTCCGTAATTTCTCAACGCTCATTTCGTAACAGTTGAGAATATCTTGGCGGGATTCGTATTTGCCAATTCGATTGTCGATTGTTATGAAATCGTAATATCTGCTGGGTAATGGTAATGGGTCGTTTGATTGGTTTGGGAGAGGATGCGGTTGTGATAACCGCTTGGTATATTATTAGAGTAAATAACTTCATTCCCTCCATAATGAATGAATATTGGTTGGAAATCGAAAGTATACAAGTATTCGTTGTTTTCAGTTCAACGGATTCACTTATTGAAGTTATACTAATTTTGGCGCCTTAGGAAAAAATGATGAGAGTATTTTTTTATAATGCGGGCGCCCACCGTCACCAAAAACCCATACCCTGAAGTTAGTTTCTTATTCTTCTTCAATGTATGTGGCCGTTGCATAGTCTAAACAAAAACGTAATAAAAAATCATGGCCCAAAAAGCACCTGTATACAAATTCTGAATGGAATCAGACCATTAATCACGTAATAGCTTATCTGCCATCTTGAATCTTGTAACAATACCCAACACTGGTCTACAGTGGTTTTGTTGCCCTAGATAT